TTCTTCCTCTAATTTTTTTACTTTTTTAATATTTCTTAATATTAAATAGAAGTTAGCAAAGCGATAATATTATAAGGTAAGAAACGCTTATATTTAAAAGCGACTTTAAGACCGTTGTAAAACACCTTTCTCTTTAAGCATTCGCCGCACCGATTGGAATTAAGAGCGAAAAAGCATTTGCGGTGCTTGCGGAAACAATTTGAATAAGGCATTTTAATGGGCTTATTATAATTTAAAACGTAAGCTATAAGGGCTTTTTTGGCTAAGTTTTAACGATTAGAATAGCGGGTTTTAAATATATAATTTATTATAAAGCAATGTTTTAAAAAAGTTAAAAGGAGGAGATTTATTAAATTATAATAAAGTAGGCATTATTAGTCTTTTGGTCTTTAACGAACCAAACCTTTAGGACGAAAATTAAAGGAAAAGGGCATTATATTATAATTTAAACTTTAATTATAAAGGAGAAGCTAAATAAATAAATAGGGTATATAAAGAGGTAAAGCCTCCTAAATACCATTAAACTTATAAAGATATACCCAAGTTCGCTAAACTCGGGACGTCCCGATCTTAGGGGATTTGGAATAATTAAACTTATAGAGGTGTACCCGAGTTTGTTAAATTCGGGACGTTTTAATTTAAGGGATCTCGGGACGGGTCTCTTTAACTTCTATATAATAAATAGGACTTAGTAATATTAGGTCCCAAATTAGTAATTAATATAAGTTTTTAAGTATATATTATATAATCTTAAAAAATAACCACTTATTTACTTAATTACTTATACCCCCTTATATTTACCTTCTTAATTTTTATTGTCTTAAGGAACCTTTAATTTTTAAGATTGTAATAATACTCCGCTTTTATAAAACTATAAAAATTAATATTTTATTTTTAATAAAATTAAATAATTAATAATTAAAAGTTATTTAAAAAATAAAATTTAAAATTTAATTAAAAAATATATTTTAAATAATATAAAAAATTAAATATTTTATAAAAAAGTCTTTATATTAAAAATATTTAAAAAAACCTTAATTAAAAATATTTATATATTATTTATTAGAAAATATTAAAAGGTTATTTAAATTATAGTAAAATTATGCTAATATTTTAAATTTTCTAGATTAAAAAAAATAATTAAATTAATAATTAATAAATTCGAGATTTATATATAAAATAAAAATATAGAATATAAACCCTTTAATTTATTAAAATTATTATTTATAATAAAAAAGGTTTAAAGATAGATTTTTATAGATTTTATTATAAAGCTTTTATTATTAAAGGACTTAATTATTAATATAATATATAATAATATTTTAATAATTATAAATTAATTAACTAAATATTATTATTTTTATTATTTTAAAAAATAAATATAATAAAATAATTAATATATATATTTTTAAAAATAATAACTAATAATTATATTTAACCCAATAAAATTATTTTAAATTAAAATATATTTTTTATATTTAAGTTTTAATAAGCGTTAATAAAATAAATAAAGGTTAAATATAAATTTTTAATAATTTATTACCTTTAAATAAATGGATAAATAAAATAAATAAATTAAATAATAAAATAATATTTAAAGTTATTTATTAATTATAAATAAGATAATTAAATAAAATTATTATTAATAATATAGTTTTTTTATAATAATTTAAAATTAGAAATAATAGGAATTTTACTATTTTTTATAAATTATAACTTTAAAGCTAAAATATATTAAAATATTAATAAAAAAACTCTAAATATTATATAATATATTTTATAATAACCTTTCTTTTATTTAAGAATATATAAATATTTATTATAATAAAAAAAACTTAAAAAATTGATTTTTTAAAAAGGGAATAAAGTTTATTTTTTAAAAAAAAATATTAAAATAAAATGGTTTAATAATAAATTAGATTTTAAAAAATTAAGACCTTTTTAAATTATAAAAAAGATTTTTATTTTAAATTATTAATTATTATTATTTAAATCTATAAAAATTTACCCCATTTTTTATATTTTTTTATTAAAATTAATATTTATAAAAATATAGTTAAATATTATAATAAAAATTAACTTTATAGAGGAAAAATATATAGTAAAAAAAATACTAGATTTTTAATAGGTTAAAAGGAAAAAGGTGGAATATTGAATTAAATAAAAAAATTATAAATATAAAGGAAATATATAAGAAGTGTTTAAATATTTATAAAATTACTTTAAAAAACTTTAATAATTTTATTAATAAAATTTAAATTAGCTAAGGCTATAAAAATTTAGGAAAAGTTATTTAATAAAAAGTTTAATTCAAAAAATAAAAGAAAAGAAGTAATTATATAAGTAACATATTTTTCTTTAATTTATTAAAACTTATATTAAAAAAGCCTTTTAATATAATTTTAAATAATATATTTCCTTTTCTTTAATATAAAAAAGCAATTAAAAAGTATTTTTTCTTTTTCCTTAATTAATTTTATTTTATTAATATTATAGATAATTAAAAAAGTAAATAAATATAAAGATAAAAAAAATAAAATAATATTTATATAAAAAAATAAAATCATTATTATTATAAAATATTTTATATTTAATATATTTATTATAATATTTAAAGCCGTTAATAAAAAAATAATTAAAATAAAATATTAAATAAAAACCGTTAAAATTAAATATAAAATAAATTAAAATTATATTAATTATTTTTTTTATTATAAATATAAAATATAAAGCTTAGAGATTTTAAATATATTAATATTAATAAATTTTTTTAATAAATATAAGGAAAAAGTTAATATTTATTAAAATATAATTATTATAATAAAGTTAAATATTTAGAACTAAATTTTTAAAATAAAAATTAAAAGGGAAAAGTATTATATTATAAGCTTAAAAAAGGTTTTTACTTAAAGTAAAAAAAAGGGGCATTTATATAGGGAGATTAATAGCGAAAACTTTAAAATAAACGAATTAAAGCGGTTTTAAAAAATTTAAAAATTAGGATTAGTGGATCTGGATTTAATAAACTTAAAGCTTGGGTTTAACGGGTTTTAACGGAAAACTTAAAGCTCAAATCTTTTAAATTTTAAAGTAAACTTAAAATAAAAAACTTTTAAATTTTTATTCTTTATTTTTATATAAATAAATAAAGTTTAATAATATTAAGTTTTAAATTAATAATTAATATAAATTTTTAAATATATATTATATAATTTTTAAAAATAATAGTTTATTTATTTAATTATTTATACTTTTTTATATTTATTTTTTTAACTTTTATTATCTTAAAAAACCTTTGGTTTTTAAGATTGTAATATAAAAGCAGCTATATTCTTTAAAAAATTGCTTAAAAAGAGCAAATAATTAATTAATTTAAATAAAACCTAGGGTTTTATTATATAAGATTATAAAATATCTTATAAAAAAAAATCTTAAAATTTATTATATCTTATAATTCTTTAAAATAAAACTTTATTTTCTACTTTTATATAATAAATAAAGTCTAATATTATTAGGTTTTAAACTAATAATTAATATATATTTTTAAATATATATTATATAATCTTTAAAAATAATAACTTATTTATTTAATTCTTTACACTCTTTTATATTTATTTTTTTAACCTTTATTATTTTAAAAAACCCTTTGTTTTTAAAATTATAATAAGTTAGCTAATAATTATTATAAATAGAAGATTATTTAAATATATTAATTTAAAAGTCTTTAAGCTTATAATTTATAAGGAAAGCTATTATTAAGTTAAAAATAAAGTGTTAATTTTACAATTATAAAAGTGACTTTTAATTATATAAATAAATAATAAAAGCATTAAATTAAAATAATAAGAAAAAGACTAATAATAAAAAAATCTTATAAGCTTTAAAATAGTTTTTATATAATTTTAAATTAATAATTTTATATTTTTAAATCTTTTAATATATTTTAAGTTAAAATTTTACCTTTAATTAAATAAAGTAGGGTTTAATATTTATTATAATAATATAAATGTTAACTTAATAATAACAATATTATAAAGAGTTTTATAAATATTATAAGTTAATTTTTATTAGCTTATTTATAAGTTTAAAGTAATATTAATATATACTTAATAATTATAATTTGTTAATTTTATTATTTTAAACGTAATAATTAAAAAAGTTTTTAATATAAATTTATATTATTTTAAATAATAATATAAGCGGAAAAATAAAGTAATAACTTATAAATAATATATAAGATTATTATAGCTTATTTAGGAAATAATAATAAGTTAATATTAATAATTATTTAATATTGTTTATATCCATTTTAAAAAAGATTAATAGTGGAATGCTTTATTAAGCCTTTAATTATATTATAATGCGGGCTATTAATTTTATTTATATTATATAAATATTAAAAGGGTATAATCTTAAGGAAATAAAAGCTATAATAAAATTAAAGTCTATAATTTATAGCCGCTTTCGAAATCTTTATACCTCTTTTCCTATTAATTATATAATATTATTATTATTATAACTCTTATACAAACTAATATAAAAGTATAAAATTATCGAGTAAATTATAAAAATAAAGTTAATATAAATATATTAAATCTTTTCTCCTTTATAATAAATTTAAAATATAAATAAATATATATAAAAAAATATTTTTAAAGTAACTTATATTTATTAGCTCTTAAGCTTCCTCGGATAAATAATATTTTTTTAATTAATAATTCTCTTTTATAAGGCTTAACTTTAATATTTTACTTATTTATAATAAAAGTTATAAATAATAGATTATATACTTTAATTCTTCCTTTTAACATATAAAAACCTTATATATTAACAATATATATAAATAAAATATTAATAGATAATTAGATTAGTATATAATAAAACTAAAAATTTAAGGAAGGGCTTTATTAAACCAAAAAGATTTTATAAAAATGCGAATCTTAAACGCAAAAATAAAAGAATGACTCTAATCCTACGGATGAAGACTGTGAGTCAATGGTTGCCTAATAACAAGATTGAACTGTTGACCTTCGCATGACTTGGTAAAGACTCCATATGGAATAATTATTAGTACGACGCTCTAACCAGCTGAGCTAATCGGGCTTGCGTTGTCTATGGAGTTGCCGTGCTGGTGGGTTATCTCAAGAAGGGTGGATGTTATGAGTGGGTTGAGATGGGAGAGATCCAGAAAGCAATCGTAGTACTATGGTAAAGAGCATATAGAAACTCTAGATAGGAACAAATTATCTATGATAATAGATTTTCTTTTTCCAAGGGAGTTATAATAATGGAGAAGAAACACTCGGGTGCACAGCATCATGTCGCTCTCACGAATAAAGATGTAGAACTGAAAGACGACTTTTCAAGTAGAAGTATCTTAACGCGCATTCCCTCCTCTCCCCAATACCTGGATCAACAACCTTATTGGCTCGGATAGAAACTTTTTCTTTCAGGTTGGCTTTGGTTTGCGAAAGGCCTCGCCAACTACATTTGCCAGCCGCCGTATCTTGGTCGGTTTCTTGCTGTCTCCTCCATCAAGATTCTCAGACTCAATTTCTGAGGTCTCGGCTCTACGTTTGACAGCGGTAACAGATAATCGATGGGGCTGAACCGCGCTCGGGTTCACCGTGGGCGGCCCCCCACTAGATGATGTATCTCCCTCAGAGCTAGGAGACAAAGCGGTCGAGGAGGCCACGGAAGTTTCGATGTTTTCCGAAGTCGCGGATCCAAACGTCGGTATCGAGGCAGGTGATGGAACAGAAACCACAGGTTCATCACCTGTGCAGCTCTGCTCCGTCAGTGTTCCAGGGGAAGAGGACTTGCTGCCACCGGCTGTGGATGACGATCTCCAGGGCAGCGTCAAACGATTCTTTGCAGACCCAAAAATCACAGCTCCGTTACGATGTGCAGCGAAATCCACCATCGATTTGGAGTTGGAGAATCTCATTTTCGAGAACGTTGGTTGCTGGATCGGATGATGCGTTGTGTCGATGTGCCCGTCTTTGCTTGTTACTTGGCAAGCACAATCTTGGTGAAACGGACTCGTATTGGAGGGGTTCTTCCAAAGGATGCCTTCGGCTAATGTGATTGGGTCGGTCGATGGGTCGCCTATCCGTTCGATGATGGGGTCGAGGTCGGAAACGCTGGTGCAAAGAAGATACTTGCCCTTTGGTACGGTCGCCCACTCAGAGCAACCATCGGTGACGGTGGCGGGTCCGGATCGGGAGGCTTCGATAATCTCGCCGAACCCGTTCCCGAAGAGAGTGATAGCTGGTATCGCCCTGACAAAATCTATCCAGCTGAGCAGATTGAAGGGCATCTTTTCCTTCCGTAGCCAGAGTGGGTCCCGATCTGTGGCCACTTCTGAGAAATCCCATCCCTCCATATGATCGTGGAGACGAGGCTTTGCGTTGACGCCCTTATACGAAGCTTCCGCCTTGGCGTTATGGTCGATGAGCTTCTCAAGAGTCTCATAGAGTTCTTCCACTCGGTCTCTTACTGTCTTCCATGTCGTGACCGTTTTTACCATTGTCTCCTCTTTGCCATCTGGCAAGTGCTTGGTCTCTTTGTGTATCTTCACATCCTGGGTGAATAGCTCAAGCTTCTGGTTCACCGAGCTCAGAAGTACATCCAAGGCCGAGCTCGGGCTGGAAGGGTTAGGGGACTCCACGAACTTGCTTTGGTCAAACAAGAACTCTGATCTGAACTTATCCGCCCCGTAGGATTCGAGAGACGCCCGTAGGAGGTGTAAAAGGGCAGAGCTTCCGTTGACCAGCCAACCCCGGCGGTCATCCACATCCCACAGGGTGACATATTTTTGATCGACCCATCTCAACTTGTCCCTGTATGACGAATGAGTGATTCGCACGGGTGTATCTTTGTTGCCAATGCCAAACGAGCAGCCGCCTGTCACCAGTTCGCCCACGGACAAGGAGACTTTCTCCAGCGTAAAATCGCGCCCGATCTTTTGTAGTCTTGACGGCTTTATATTGTAGTTCATTGCTGGGGATCCTGTTACATTAGCAACCGTCAGCATTCCCCATCATCAACCCGAGAAACCAAGCATTTAGTGGTTGATCTCACCAGCATTGCATTTGGCCTCAGAACACCAACCAACAATATGACGACTTCTCGTCAATTCGTCGAGGCTCAGATTCAAGTCCTCTCTTGGCTCCAAGTCCGGGTACGGAATCCGGCTACCGTCGTCGGCGTGGTACAAGTGCCACACAATCGAGTCGCGTAGTTTCTTCGTTGGTGTCAGTGCTGTCGAGAAGCCCTTGAGAAATTGGCGACCCAGGAATGTATTGACTCTCGGGCACTTGGTCAGCCCCGACATCATATTCAAAGGGATCTCGAGTCCGGTATTGTACCCGACCCTCCTCGGAATTGGAAAGCCTCGAACCACAACAGGATTCCGGAAAAGGTGATGCCAACATCGCCCATCCAGATCTCTGCCACTCTCAAGAATATTCTCAACCGAAAAGCGTATTGTACACTTTCCAGCAGAGTCAGATCTTCCTGGGCTAGCAATTCGGTCCATCTGAGGTCGACATGTCATTAGTGAGTCAGTGGCTGATGGGCGTATGGCAGCACCGAGCCAGCCAATTTGTTCCCCAATCTCCGCTACTGAATCTGCCGTTCCTTCAACTACCAGATCGAGTTGAACCTTCTTGAACAGAGCCTTTATAGTGGAACTGTCTGCGAGAGTTTCTGCCCAACCGTTAACATGTGCGGCGATGAGTTGCGTAAAGGTTTCGTAGTCACGTACTGGTTTCTTCCTTTCCTGATACCAAGGCGTTCTTCAAAAGGCCAAGCACGTGGTGACCGGTAAACGGCCAGGTCTGTCGCATGTATTCACCGCAAGTGAGAGCCTGCGCATCTGTTGTCGATCCTGTCAACGTGATTGTTTCCTCAAGGAGGTGCCCGAGGTCAGCTTGGCCAGGAAATTGATCTTTGAGAAAAGTCGTTGGGTTCCAGTCCACAACAAAAGCCATCCTGTGCCTTTCGGACGGCCTCGAACTGCTGACCGATTTCGTTCTCTCCAGAATGCCCGTCACCTTGTTGCGCAGGTCGGAGGATATTTCTTCATGTTCGGGCTCAACCGCTGCCAAATAAACGGCCTTTTTGAATGACATCACAAGCCACTCAAAAGCCACAGAATTGACAACCAGGGCTCGGTAACCTCGCTTATCCGACAATGATGACAGCTCTGCCGGCTGGTCTATGTCGTCGTATCTCTGTGGGGAACTGTGCCTCGATGAGATATACTCATCGTGCCGGTAGAGGTAGCCGTCGTTATCAAGGCAGACGTGGAGAGTCTCCTCTGTCTCTTCATCATGTTCGGATTCCACGTCAGCCACGGCCCCACCGTCTTGGACCGTATTCACCCAACTGGTGATATCTAGCGGCGTAAATCCCTTCATATTCTGCCCTCGGTCGGTCTCTGGGTCTCTCGTGGCGTTATCTCTCACTCGAGATGAGATCTCACTTAGGTGATGATCAGAATATGTTAGTCTCGCTTCGAGGCACTCAAAGATGTGTAAGGGAAACAAATCCACAAGTACTGTACCTTCTATGTTTGTGAACAAAGTACATGACCTCTCTTTCAGCTTTATTCGAGCCCGGACAACCAAGACGAAGGGCGAATGCCCTGAGCAACGATGGGAGAATAGTAGATCGAGACGACACAAGTTCGGCGTCTAAGTCGGGTGGGCATATTCTGTCGAGGAGTGTCTCGGCAAATTCGGTCTTGAATGTGTCTTCGTCATTGAGGGCAGTTGAGGCCACGGAATAGATCGTCGCTTGATCGTCAAAGTCAATCTCGACTGATTCATGTTCTTGCGCGAGACCCAGATCCTCCTCATGAAAGTTCGATGCACCTCTTTTCATGGATTCGTACCCGGAGTCGGTGATTATTGCGGTATATGTCTGTCCAGTGACGGAAACGCCGGCTTGTGAGTTGGTCGAGTCCGGCGAGAACGCGACGGAACTGACCCACCCGCTATGCCCCTCGAGCGTCTGCGTGCAGGTGCTCGTCGCGGTATCCCAGATCTTGACGGTCTCGTCGGCTGACGCTGACGCAACGAGGGTCGAGTCCGGCGAGAACGCGACGGAACTGACCCAGTCGCTATGCCCCTCGAGCGTCTGCGTGCAGGTGCCCGTGGCGGCATCCCAGATCCTGACGGTCTTGTCGCGTGACCCTGACGCAACGAGGGTCGAGTCCGGCGAGAACGCGACGGAATTGACCGACCCGCTATGCCCCTCGAGCGTCTGCGTGCAGGTGCCCGTGGCGGCATCCCAGATCCTGACGGTCTTGTCGCGTGACCCTGACGCAACGAGGGTCGAGTCCGGCGAGAACGCGATGGAACTGACCCAGTCGCTATGCCCCTCGAGCGTCTGCGTGCAGGTGCCCGTGGCGGCATCCCAGATCCTGACGGTCTTGTCGCATGATGCTGACGCAATAAGGGTCGAGTCCGGCAAGAACGCGACGGAACTGACCCAGTCGCTATGCCCTTCGAGCGTCTGCATGCAGGTGCCCGTAGCGGTATCCCAGATCTTGACGGTCTCGTCGTATGACGCTGACGCAACGAGGGTCGAGTCCGGCGAGAACGCGACGGAACTGACCCAGTCGCTATGCCCCTCGAGCGTCTGTGTGCAGGTGCCCGTGGCGGTATCCCAGATCTTGACGGTCTTGTCGGCTGACGCTGACGCAACGAGGGTCGAGTCCGGCGAGAACGCGACGGAACTGACCCAGTCGCTATGCCCCTCGAGCGTCTGTGTGCAGGTGCCCGTGGCGGTATCCCAGATCTTGACGGTCTTGTCGGCTGACGCTGACGCAACGAGGGTCGAGTCCGGCGAGAACGCGACGGAACTGACCGAGTCGCTATGCCCCTCGAGCGTCTGTCGGCATGCATTCCAATCCTCTTCTACAGCCGGCCCCGTAGTAATCCACTTGGGCTCCTCCTGTCTGAACAGCTTCCTCGTCACGCTGCGGCCTGGGCTGAACACAAGTGCCGAAACGTACACCTGAAGAGGTGCTATGTCAATGATCCACCGATTGCTCAGAATAACCCGTCTTATATCGCGGAGTAGTACAGATACCT